ATATTCCATGAACCATTGACATCGATACTAAGCAATCTGAGAATTTCGGCCCGACTGCTACCCCTAATCCATTACTGACTTAGTTTGACATGGATTGTTATACTTAGTTACCACAATAAATTAAAAAACACTCCGAATGGAATAGAAATATTATACAGAGCGTTCTGTAGTTCATGGGCACTGCAAAAGTGAGCTCACGTGGAACTATTTACTACGTACTTAGATCGTGTGAGATCTGTACGAGGTGTTATCTCACGTCCTACCTTCTGATAGCATAAATCTGATAACAAACGCTTATCGGCCACGCGTAGTACTACTCCCAATTTCCTAAATAATGTGTATTCTTGGTTACAGGAGGCTTAAATGTGCGATCTAAACACCGCGCCCTTCTCAAGCTAACCTTCAGTGATAAACAACGCTAGTGCCTTTACGATCATCAATGAAAGCATTTTCGTCAGCAGCTCATTAGGGGATATTCATGGTTTTAATGGTAAGTGTCTTTTGTTTCATATTTTGAGTCCACACTCGAGTAAAAGGCGGCGGTGTTCGGCTAATCTACTCCCCCCCCTTTTTTTGAAAAAACTAGTATTTAGTTATGTTGAGAGAATCATAAAATATTTTAAATTATCATCATGTTTGCATTGCTTTTTAAATATGAAAAAATTAAAAAAACAAATCTTTAAATTTCCAGAATGTCGGAAACATTTGCCGGTAACTTAAACTACGTTTTTGGACACACTTTTCAAAAAAATGAATATTTAGAATTTTTTTGGAAACTTGTTTGAATATTTTTGTCGATTTTTAAAATACTTTACAATAGATTCGAACGTTGTTACAATCAATCCCTGATTGTTTTCCTGTCAAGCATAAAATAAAAATTTAAATTTACCTTATCCTAACGTTTTGTGGGGGGGTACTTTTTTAAAAATTAAAAATAAGAAAATTCCTTAAATAATTAACGAAAAGTGAAATTGTTAAACGACTGAGCTCATAAGTTTAAAAAAATACTAAAATTAATTTCAAACGATCTATCAGCACTTATTTACGAAGTTTGAAATTATTAAATTTTGAGATAATTTTTAAATGCTACTGTAGCAATCATTGACAAAAATTTGAAATTTTTAAGTTTCATTTTTCAAAACTGAAATTAATTAAAAAAATTGACCAGTCTTCTATTTTCTTCTGGACTTTGGATTTTTTTAGGCTCTGTGTTTCAAAAATAAAAATCAAGAATTCAAAAAAGGTTGATCCATATTTTGGCATGAGGATCAAAATTCACTGTACCGTCCAAATAAAACTAAAAATCTTCATAGAATTATTTAGCTGCCTTTGCGAGAAAACGTAACGAAGTTCGAAATTGCGCCATTCGACAGCACGTTCAAACGTAAAAAAAATCGCCTCGCATCGCCGCGAGCGCGTGCGACCACTTCAAGGCGAACGAGTGTCATCGCAACTCTTATTACCGTTGTATAATTGAGGCGTGGCCGTATTGTTAAGGAGAAACCTTGATTTTTTGTTTTGTCCTAATAACAAACTCAAAAAAAATTTCTGGTTAGCCATGGCTTAGGTACGCGAAATTTGGAATTACTCAATTATCCTCCCGGTTCCGTATTCGACCGCATTGCGAACTTTCTAAAAGAAGACGATTGCAATTACGCAACGAATTTTACATTACACTTAAATTCGGACGTTTATAGGCGTTCTAAAAATGGCACTTAATCGCGATAATTGCCATGTTAAAAGAGCGGGTCAAAAAAACGACATTCACCTGTGACAAGGACAAGGGGCACACCGAATCCGAATTCTGTGTGTCCTCTGCCGGAAGGTTTGTTTAATAATCAACGCTATGGGTAGGTGATAATTCGATAAGTGGATAGCGATAATTATCAATGTACCCAAATGGTACACTTCCGTTGGATAATAATTATCAATATCAATGTTTATTTTGCGCACATATCTGGGAATAGATTCCAAAAGAATTCCAAAACGATTTTTGGGTTGTCGATTTCAAAAGATCCCATGCATTCGGCTCGCTCGACATTGGTGTACAAACACTGCGAGCCATTTTCGTTGTGAGAAGAGCGAGCTCGAGCTATGCCGAGCTCGCTCGCCATTGGCATACGCTTCGAATTTTGTGACCGGAATCGTTTATAAACCCCGAAATTCGGACGTGGTTAATTTATGCCCAATCTCGCCTCGGTTTGCTCGGCATTGTGTGGGAAAAAGGGTAGGTGCTTTGCCGTCGGTAAACGTCGTTTGCCACCGTGGACGTAGAGATGCGAGTCTAAGGGAGGGCCCGAGCTATGCCGAACTCGCCCTCGGCTCGCTCGGCATTGGTGTGCAAAAAAGTGTATGTGTTTTAGGTATATTTTACGCATATTTGAAGTGCAACTAACTCTCTACGTATTAACGAGAAAATTGGCGTTAAACCTCGACAATATACTTTGGTCGTATGTTGCTATA